TAGTAATGCGGTAAGAATGCGGTATTGGTACAGTACTCTCCCTCCAATCCCGGGTTAATTCGGTATCCGTCACCAAGTTCCGTAGTCCTACGGTAGTGATCCCACCCCGTTTTTTCATACTGTAGGATGCCGCCCAGTTGACGTCACCTAGCCACCAAGGTCAAGGTCGGGCCGGCCCTAGTGTTGGGCATTCTAGCCCTTGTAAGCTACAGAGTCGTAAACGAACCTCTAACTGCATACACAGTGCTGCAGCCGGGCAAGTCAGCCTGGGCTACCTACATACATGTAGCTCTGGTGGGGCCAAGAGGCGCGAGTGATGTTTTATGCACGGAGATCAGCTAGTGTCTGCGCTATATACATGTATATATGGGTACATGTATGTATGTATGTATATAGGGTACGTATAAGCAGTCGGGTTATGTGCTAGAGCGCCTGCCATTGAAGACGGAAAGCATGCCCAGTTGCATGCAACGGAGAGTGTGTTTCCTCTCTCTCCCCCACGAACCACAGGCGGGTTTACTGGAGACGTCGAGGAGGAGGAGGGGTTCTGTGGCTGGACAGGATACATAGATACATGCAGCAGCAGCCCATTGGTGGCAAGCTGCCCTACTCTAACGACCGTTAGCTGCAGTACTGCACGCACGGCTTGCTTGCTTGACATGACACTGCGGGCAGCCCTCCCGGCCGCCACTCGAACCCGACGGATCCCTGACACGTGTTCTCCCCCGGGCAGCTGTCTCCGCCCGTGTTTGCGGTGCTGTGGTTCTGCGGTGCTGTTCTGCTGCTGTGGTGCTGTGCTGCTGCTGTGGTTTGTCTTTGGCTGCTGCTTGGTAGCCACTGAGCTGCGGGCACTGGCTGGATGGCTGGATGGCTGGATGGGTGGATGGCTGGATGACTGACTGACTGACTGAAGGCTTCTGACTGGATGACTGACTGGCTGCACACACACATCTCCAGGCACCTGCACAGAACACAGATGGCTAGATAACCCACAGAGCTCCCTCTTCAACTGCACGGATCAATCACTCAATCCCAGACAGCTCTCCAGCGTGTGTGTGTGCGGCTCAAGCTCTGGCAAAGTGCACACTCATCCGGGTAACCGCGTGTCTCCGGATTCAACGCTCGCACTCGCTCTCGCACTCGCTCTCACACTCACATTCACATCCACAACATCAACAAAACTAAATACACACACACACACCCATCCATTGATAACCAACCAACGTCTACACATAGACCTCCACGACGAGCAATTAGGCGTCCGTCTGCGAGGCACACGCAATGTCGTTCCCGCAGCCCCCCTCTGTGCAGCAGCAGTATCCCCAGAATGGGCAACACACACCCCAGCAGCAGCAGCAGATGCAGATGCAGTACCAGCAGCAGCAGCAGCAGCAGCAACAATCCCAACAGCAGCAGCAGCAGCAGCAATCCCAGCAGCAGGCCTCCACCTCCATGCCCCCGCCCGCCTCAAAGCCCACAGACCCCACCGACCTCGCCGACGCCCTCACCTCCGCCGGCATCGACCTCAAGGAAGAAGAGGCGCGCCTCACCGCCTCCACAACCTCCACCCACCCCTCCTCCACCCTGCCCGGCGGTTCCTCGGACGAAGAAGCACGCATTGCCCACCGCCGCCAGGCCGAGATCCGCACGGCCCACCTCGCAAACCCCTTCCTGACCGCCGAGATCCTGTCCAACCGCCTCTTCCGCAAGACGCGCGACTCGGCCTGCCAGCTCTTCACCCTCAACGCCGGCAACGGCGCCCTCGTCACCCACGGCCAGCAGGCCGACATCGCCGCCCTCCTCAGCCTCGCCGCAAAGGACCGCATCAACCAGTTTGTCACGCGCGCAATCGTGCTCGCCCGCGCGCGCCGCCGCGCACAGAACGTCGTCTCGGGCGAGTGGGCCGACAGCGTCAAGGGCGCCGACCTCGACCCCGTCAAGGGCGGCGGCGGGGGCGGGGCCATCCCGGACAGCGCCGTCTCGCCGGGTAACCCGCTGAAGCGCTCGTTCAGCTTTACGTCGGCGATGGCGGCGGCGGAGGCCGCGGCGCCGGTGCCGACGACGACGCTTGCCAATGAGACGGCAAAGGCGCTGAGAGGGCTGCAGCAGCGCGAGTTCCAAAAGGAGCAGGAGCGCATCGCAAAGAAGGCGAAGCGCGAGACGCCGGCCACGGCGGCGAGCACACCCACGGTCGAGCCGACGACGCCGTCGGCGGTGGGAGGGGGGGCGGGCGCGGGTGTGGGTGGTGGCGGCGGTGTGGGTGGAGGTGGGGGCGCGGGGGCGTCGTCGTCGTCGCAGGCGGAGCCGCCGTCGACGCCGACAATGTCGCTGAAGGAGTCTAGGAAGCACATTGCGAGCAAGAAGGAGGAGGTCATGTCGCACAAGGCTGCCAACGCGACGGCAAACATGATGATGGGCATTGGCGGGTTTGGCGGCAAGCGGAAGAAGAAGACGTACTCGTGGATGTCGGCCGCGGGGGGCGGGATGATTGGTGTTGGCGGGCCGGGCGCGGCGATGGCGCCAGTCGGGGGCGGGATGGGGGGGGCCGGGGGGGGGATGGCGACGCCGACGACGCCCGGTGGCGGGCCGGGGGGGCTGGAGTATTGGACGGGGGGCCAGAGGATTGGTGCGTGGAGGGATGATGGCGAGAGGGGCGGGGGCGTGCAGATTCGGGATTGGATTGGCGCGCTGGAGGGCGATGGGAGGGGCGTGGGGAAGGAGGTTGTAAAGGCGTATTTGAGGATGAAATGATCTTTGCTTTGTTCCTTTCAAAATTTCTTTTTTTTTTAGAGAGCTGCGGCGCTTTTTTTATTTTAATAATGTACTCTTATCTGTATCCATACGCTACTATACCAGCGCTAACTCTTGGTCTACCATCTTGGGGGGCTGGCTAGCACCTGTCCGCATCATCATCCATCCATCCATTCATCCACAAGCCACGGGGGGGGGGGGGCGGTGGTGGATTATACTCTTTTTTTTCTTTTTCTTTTTCTTTTTTCTTTTTTCTTTCTCTTTCTTCGCTTTTCTATATGTCACTGGAGTTAACTGGGAGGGGGGGGATGCAATTTGGGGAATTCAATGTGTGTGTTTTTATATATTGTGTGTGTGTGATTGGTGACTGGTGACTGGCGACTGGCGAACTGCAAACAGGAAAGAAATAAAGAAATAAAGAAAGTGGCTTTCGATCTAGCTTGGTAGCTACTGACAGGCCGCCGCCGCCGCCTCCGCCGGGTTGTAGCTGCTATGCTATGCTATGCTATGCTATGCTATGCTATGCTATGCTATGCTATGCTATGCTATGCTATGCTATGCTATGCTATGCTATGCCGAGTTCCTACATCCATCTATGGACATGTATGTAGATGGATCTGCACACCACCTCTCCTCTCGAGAAGATCTAGAAGAACAAACACCCCCCAGACAATATAATACAATACCTTTTCCAACCAGCCAGTCAACCAGCCAACCAAGCAGTATATAGCCCGTCTCTCCCCGGCCCCCCCCCCCCCATACAATCCGCACCCCCCCCCCCCCGACCCCCGACCCGGGGTCAAGTCAACCAGCTTTGGATTGGATTATATGTCTCTGTATTGTATGTATACAGCGCAAGAGCGCGCCCGCGGAACACAACCCACCCCACCCCCGGACAGGAACTTGGCCCTAGTGTATGTACATACAGCGCTCCTGTCCCTGTCCCTGAGTACAGTACAGTGCAGTGCAGTGGAGCCCGAGACGACTCGATAGTATAGTATAGTACAGTATAGTATATACAATGTATATACGAGTAGCATCTGTAGACCCCGGTATATACATATACTTAGGCCATAGTATTAACTTTATGCCATGATTGTACCTAGAATCAATTCACTCGACTTAACAAAAAAAAACACACACCATCGGCCCCGTACCAACTACACAAGCTAGTGCAGCCGTGTACGCAAAGTTAATTATGGCACCCCCCCCGCCCACCCCCCGAGGCCGAGATATCAACAGCTGCTGCGGGCCGGATCCGGATATGAACAACCAGCTATGTATGTACAAAGAGAGGTATTTCGTAGTGAGGTACATACATGTATATACTTTTTCTTTTCCGTAGCGAGATATAGTTATCGCACGTTGTATATATATATGCCCCCCCACTTCCACCTCTGAGGCCTAGGGGAGGGAGGCATTTTGTTGTTGCGGCTGTGGATTCTATATATATTAGAGCAGGTAGGTATTGCACGCGCAGGCCTAGAGGGGGGGGGGGGGGGGGGGGCGTGCCAAAAGTTTGCGGACATAGCTAGTATACGGTATATGTGCTTGTTACTTGCTCGGATCGATCGAGGTTGCTTGCCCCCAACTACATGTATACATGTATCTATCTATCTATCTATGCACATGTACATACATATATGGGTATTGCACAACCGCTATTATCGAGAACGCTACTACCGTCAATTCTCAAATAATCCACTACCCCCGTATCTGTATGTGGTAAGTCCGAACCAAGGCGGATCGGCGGATTGGCGAATCAAGCTCGACGGACTCGTGCAGTACCGTGCTTTTCCTCGCCCGGAATTAAGATTTAGCGAAGCGGGGATAGTGGATTTCTTGAGAATTGACGGTATCCTATCGGCCGGGGGGGGGCTCCCTCCACTATATATATCGTACGTATGTACCTTGCGTCGAAAACATACATGTATATATGCAAAGTCGTCAATTCCCCTCCCACCCGACCCAGAAGGATCAATGATAGAAAGTCCGTTTTTAATGACGAGACCCCCCCTCCCACGCACCCAACCACGACGCACCTCCAATCGAAAATAAAAGAAAAAAAGAAAGAACCCAATAACAGAGAGAGAGCAGAGAGACAAGCCCCTCTAACCCATTTGGAGCTCAGATAAACTCTCACAGGATGTCTAAACAAAAAAACCCGAGTTAATCTGCTCGCTGCACCACCGGCTCCGGGCTAGAGCTGTAATTGGTTTATAAATCCCTTTTTAGCCTCAGAGTGTTAAGGTTGCGTGGTGTAGTTGGTTATCACACTTGCCTCACATTCTGTGTTTCGCAAGTGGTCCCCGGTTCGAGCCCGGGCGCAATCAGTTATCTTTTTCTCCTTCCATGCTGTGTCTGTGATGGTTGAAGAGAAGCTTCCTACGGACGACCCCACTTCCGACCCACCCAAGCTGCTGTTTGACATCAGGTCAGCAACCCTAACAACCCAACAACCCCAACGGTGCTGCCCCCGCGCGCCCTCGACTGCTGAGCATCGCGAAAGCACGTGACCCCAAAGATACCGAGTCTCCCTCCGCTTAGTCATTCGCCAGCCCAGTTATGCGGCTCTTCGCCGCGTCGCCAAAGCAAGCTCTCTCGATCTCTCATCTCATCCACCACCACCACCAATTGCAAAAACAAACCAAACCCAGCCCGCAGCATTTCTAACCTTCAAGATGCTCCCCGACGAGACCGTCCCCGACGCCCTCCTCGCCAGCATCAATGCGCAGTACCCATGCCGCGTGCCACAGCTACAGCGACTGTCGGCACTCATCGGTGATGTTTGTCCACCTCCCACCCTCTCTCCTGCATTCCCCCCACCCCCAACCCGCTGACCAAGAGGGCGCGAGAGAGAACAAAATAGGAAGACGACCCGAGCCCACCCTCGATAATTGTCCACGGCCTCGAGGCGACCGGAAAGTCGCTGGTTGTGCGGGCGTTCCTGGAGGCTGCGGGGTGCCGGTTCGCCTGGGTGCCGTGCAACGAGTGTGTTACGGCGCGGCACCTGACGCAGCGCATTGCAGCGGCGGTGGCGGCGGGCGGCGGCGGCGGCGGTGGTGGGGAGGTGGCGGGGCGGTGTGATGGGGTGGGTGCGCTGGCGGTTATGTTGGCGGCGCTGCTGTTGGGTGACGGTGGTGACGGTGGTGACGGTGGTGACGGTGGTGACGGTGGTGACGGTGGTGATGGTGGTGACGGTGGTGATGGTGGTGGTGGTGGTGGTGGTGGTGGTGGTGGGCGGGGGGGGAAGTATTTTTTGGTATGAATGAATGGACGGCTGGCGGTGTGATGTGAGAGGTGATGAGGGAGAGAGTGTGCTGATGCGGTGTGTGTGTGTGTTAGGTTCTGGATAGGATCGATCAGCAGAGGGAATTGACACCGACGCTGCTGGCTGGGTTGGGAAGGTTGGGGGAGATGGTGAGTGGAGTTATATCGCGGATGTATGGAGGGAGTGGGTCTAGGTTGGCTAACAGCAGTGTGTGTGTCCAGATCCCGAACTTGACCGTTATATTCATCGTCACCGTCTCCAAAGCACGCCTCCTGAGCTCTGCAGAGGTCCCGCATATCCACTTCACGCCCTACACAAAAGACGAGAGCATCAAAGTCCTCTCAAAGTACGTCCGGCGCATCACCAAGCTCCCCACCACCACCGCCACCACCACCGCCAGCGGCGAAGCCGCAGCCGCAACAGAAACCGAAGACGAAGAAGAAGAAGAGGACGAATACACGCCCGAGACGGCCGCCGAGGAGCTCTACGTGTGGGAAAAGTTCTGCGGCACCGTCTGGGACTCGCTGGCAAAGGGCGCCGCGCGCGACATTGTGCAGTTCCGCGACGCCGTGGAGTCCATGTGGGACCAGTTTGTGCAGCCCATCGCGCACGGCCAGTACGGGACGCGCAACTTCTCGCAGCTCTATCTGCTGCAGAAGGAGATGTTTCGGCGCGAGTCGAGCATTGTGACTTCGGTGGTGGCGGTGCCGGCCGCGGAGACGACGAGGGCGGCGATGGTGGTGGCGGCGGGGAAGAGTGAGTTTACCCCCCCCCCCCCCGACCCTCCTGGTTGGGTATTGGTTGTTGGTAGTATGGACTGATGGGTGCTGTGATATTAGATATGCATGATCTCCCATACTACTCAAAGCACCTCCTCTGCGCCGCATACCTCGCATCCTACAACCCTTCACGGCAGGACGTAGCCTTCTTCACCAAGACCGGCGACTTCAAGAAGAAGCGCCGCGGCGGAGGAGGCGGGGGCGGGAAAGGCCGGCCCGCAAAAACTAGAAAGGTATCCACCCCGCCAAATCCCTCCCAGCAATACACACACATGGACGGATAACAGAACTGACCAACCCCTGATATAGATCCACCGCCGACTCCTCGGCCCACAAGCATGGCCGCTGGAACGCATGTTAGCCATTTTCTACGCCATCCTACCACACCCTATCAATTCGTCTGTGGATCTACAGACACAGGTTCGACACCCCCCCCTTCCTCCTCCTCTCCTCCTCCTCCTCCTCCTCCTCCTCTTCGCATTATCCACAGCCAAAGGCTAACCAACAACCATCCAACCACCAGATCGCAACCCTAACCTCCCTCCGCTTACTAACAAAAGCATCCGTGACAGACGCGCTCGAGGCATCGACGAAATGGCGCGTCAATGTCGGCTGGGACTATATCAGGGGCGTCGCCAGGAGTGTCAAATTTGACATTGAGGATTTTGTCGCCGAGTAGTAGTGAGGTTAGGGGGGGGGAAGGTAGGCCGAGTGATGGTTCGTGATTAAGTGCGGGGCCTGATGACTTTGCCAAAAAACTAATGATTTTATTTTTCTTTCTTTCCCCCCCTCCCCTCTTCATTTTTCTTCTAAAGTCTAGCTAGTGGTTTGTGTCTGCCTTTTTTTTTTTGTTTCTGTTTTTTGTTATGGGAGTCAGCGGGAATCTTAGAAATCGTGGATATCAATTATATTATCGGAACACTACATTCAGTAGCAGTAGCAGTAGTAGTAGTATGTAGTAGAGCTTATTGCAAAAAATGATCAATATCAACAGTCTAGTGTGTGCCCCATGCATCGTCAACCCATCTCGTAGGTACCAACTAGAGCTCGAGTCTTTAATTATAGTCCCACGAAAAATATTCCTCTACAGAGTGTTAAAAACGGCAGGCCGGGATCGCGAGTAAAGTACCAGCAAAGCAATATCAGTGAAAAAAACGTCAGTCAACTGAGCCCGAGCAGTACTTTCACGTACATACTAGAGACCTCTAATAGCCCCAACCCCAAACCCTTTTTTCCCCCATAATTACCCTCCGGGCCGTAGTATAGTTGGTTGGTTCTGACTGGCTCGAGTCTGTGAATTATGTTCTTTAACTAACTTGTACATAATAATGATGAATTGGCCCTAACTCATTATCAAATAAATCCCCCATGTCATAAGCCCGAGGAAAAAAATTCAGAAATCAAGCGGCCTTGGGGGTGGTAATTGGCCTGGGAAAGTCTACAGGTTCCGTTACGATTCACTAACAACAGTAATTTAAACTCGCCATTTTACACTGACTCCAATCAAGCAAAATCTAGGATCCAGATGATAGTTATAACTCATTAACTACAGTACCAAAAAAGCGGGTGGATCCAGTACCGCACCTAGCAAAATACTGCAAAACTACGGTATTACTACGGTATTGCTACGGTATAATATTTAGATTTCCGATTTAATTCGGAAGTTTTAAACAATTCCGTATTGATACAGTACGTATTACATCCCCTTTTTTGGTACTGTATATTCTACCAAAATATTAATAATAGAATTAATGAATTAAACAAAAAAAAAAACCCAAATATTGGTACATATACAGCTTCAGCTCAACTTGGCCTGGCTCAAGCCGACTCAGGTCTGAAAAATATAAACGCCGCTCTAAATGGGTCCAGATGTAGGGTCGGTACTGTCAGTTCTATCCATCAGCTAGATTGTCGGTCCCCATCCGACAGTCGGCTATCTACCGGCCGGTTGCTAGAACTATCATTGATACTTAGACCCGGGAGCCAGGCCCAATGCCACGAATCCCTCAACGGTCTGCGGGCCGGCGCCAGACAATCAAAACCCGCCGCCGATTGTACCGGTTATCTATTACTCTCCTGTGTTTACCGGTCTATGAGCCTATGCCAGGCTATCAAAATACGCCCCTAACGGTACCAGATACCTACATAGCACTAGCAGACCTTACAGGTGAGCACGGAACCCAGAAGGTTAGGTTTATGCTTCGTACGTATACGGCTACCAATTCATTGATTAGTAGTTTATTTATTACATCTACCTTGAGGCTATGACGATATGAATGTTCACCATAGCCCTTGTGATTCAGTATGTGCCTGTATCCACTCAGCAGCCTCAATTAAGAGCGCGCCATAATTCCTTTAAGCAGACTACGTGTATCCATGGTAGTATACTACCTGGCCGTAAAGCGGGCAGTAAAAGCCGATCAACCATCTCTTTCTTTGGGCAGCAGGTGCACGTACCTCGCACCAAGTGTCTCTCAGTACTGTCTGTAACTGTGATCCCAAGACACAGGCGGGTATCAGGTCTGTCTGACATTCCATCCCTATCCCCACACTCCCGCTCCTTCTCTTTCTTTCTCAGCTCTCTCCCGAGACCAGACAGAAATAACTAGTTAGTGTTATAGTTAGACGGGATGGAATGGAATGGGGTATGTCGCAAGGCAGTATCAGGTTGGATTTCTGTCTGCCTGTCTGTCTGTCTGTCCCAGATCCGGGTCCAAGCAGAACCAACAGAAAAAGGGTCCGATATCCTGTCAAATTTCGCCTCCCCACTACCGCTCGGAGATTTGAAACGCCATCTGTTTGTTCTTTTAAGTCATTGTGAATCACTCGATAATCATATCCCACAGAACCAACATGGGTTGCCAGCTAGATAAGATTCCAGCCGACGCAGTCAGGTTTAGGCTTGCCCTGTAGTTTCTGCTGGCGCTGTTGTTCCTGCTGCGCTGGCTTGGCTAGAGAATGAATGGACTCTGTAACGGTCCATTTGACCGAGTATACGTAGAGTACATACGTGTATCTACGTTGGCCAAGAAGCATTCTTCCTGTAGAGATATGTATAGATAGATTGATAGATAGATAGCACGTAGCTATGTGCATCATAGATCCACATACCATGAATCCTAGTGCGCCTCTACGTTGCGTTTTCCGATTCTTCGGGGCCTGTTTCCTAGCAGGGACCGGGGGAGAAGAGAACAGAGTACAGTACACCGGGTAGGAGTGAGCCTTGCAGAGCCTTGCAGCGCTACAATTAAGGTTATCGTTTCTTTTTCTTTTTCCCTCATCC